GGAACCGGCTCCAGACCCGGCCGGGCGCCGGCCCGGGCGCGGGCTCGGGCGTCTGGCCCGGGCGCCAGTTCGGGCGCCAGCCCGGGCGTCGGAATCGGCCCAGGAGGCCTTCCTGAGCGCCGGAAGCAGAAATTTGGCATTTTCAAAAGAAAAATGTGTATTAGAATGGCCTTTTTTCGGCGCCGCCTCCGAACTCCATTTTCCGGCGCCGGCCGGAACCGGCTCCGGACACGGCGGCCCGGGCGCTGGCTCGGGCGCGCCGCCCAGGCGCCGGCGGAAATGAGGCCAGCGCTGCAGCGGGAGCACGATTCGGAACGAGCGGGGCCCGAAAATGAGGCCGGCGCCTCAGCGAGAGCAGCATTTTGAAAAACCGGGGAAACTTGTGTGCAAAAAAAACAGTACGCGGGGGGGGTCCGCTATTCCCATTCCGTCATCAGGGGAAGAGGGAGAGTAGTATTCATAGTGAGTAATTGTTGAGAAGGAGGGTGGAAGAGGAGGGAGGAGGAGGAGGAGGAGGAGGAGGAGGAGGAGGAGGAGGAGGAGGAGGAGGAGGAGGAGGAGGAGGAGGGAGGAGGGAGGAGTGAGGAGAGGAGGGAGGAGGATTATTTTGCGGATGATGATGTTGATGATGATGCTATTGCAGCTGACGGCGATGACGATGATTGTGATGATGATGATGCTGCTGCTGATGATGATGCTGCTGATGATGATGCTGATGATGGTGATGATGATGACGTTGATGATGATAATGATGATGATGCTGAATATTGTGATGGTGATGATGGTGATGATTCTGCTGATGCTGATGCTGATGCTGCTGATGATGATGATGATGATGATGATGACGTTGATGATGGTAATGATGATGACGTTGATGATGGTAATGATGATGCTGATGATGGTGATGGTGCCCTTGATGATGATTATGCTGATGCTGCTGCTGCTGATGATGATACTGATGCTTTAATGATGCTGATGCTGATGATGATAGTGAGGGCATGCTGCTGCTCTTGCTGTGATGATGATGCTGCTGATCATGATGCTGATGCTCATGATGCTGATGATGGTGATGATGATGATGATGATGATGATGATGATGATGATGATGATGATGATGATGATGATGATGATGATGATGATGATGATGATGATGATGATGATGATGAGGAGGAGGAAGGAGGAGGAGGAGGAGGAGGAGGAGGAAGGAGAGGAGGAGGAGGAGGAGGAGAGGAGAGGAGGAGGAAGAGGAGGAGGAGGAGAGAGGAGGAGGAGGAGGAGGAGGAGGAGGGCTTGAGGACGAGGATGAGGATGTCGAGGAGGAGGAGGACGAGGAGGAGCAGATGGAGGAGGAGGGCGAGCAGAAACGCCAAAGGCCTCTTGGATGCTTCTCGGAGTCTCTTCGGATGTCTCTTGAGAGATTCTTGGGGTACTCTTGGGGCGTCTGGGGGGCCGCTTGACGAGCTCGAGGCGGCTTGGGTACTTCGGGGGAGCCTCCTGGGACCGCTTGGGGGCATCTCGGGGGGCCTCTTGGGGCCTCCTGGGCGCCTCTTGGGGCCTTCTCGGGGCAATCTTGGGAGCCTTGGGGACCATCTTGGGGCCATCTTGGACGAGTTCGATAATCGGCCCCCCCTCCCCCCTGCCCTCTGCAGCTCCTAAACATCGCCTCTTCGACTCCTCTGAGAGCGCTCTTGGGGCTCTCGGGGCCGTCCTGGGACCCTCGTGGGCTCCTCTTGGGGCTCTCTTGAGCCTTCTTGCGCGAAGTGGGGCCACCTTGAGGCCTCGGAGGGCAGTCGAAAGTGAACAGGCGAGACGGCATCATAAATTATTTCTCCTGAAGTGTTTGACGTTTTTTTGCCAGTTGGTAGTTCCATGGGGGGATCCGTGGCCACTTGGAGCCATCTCGTGGTGGTCTTGTGGCCTCTTGAAGCATCTGGGAAGCCATCCTGAGCTATGAGCCATATTGCAGGTAGTCGTCGGCTCTTTGAGACCCTCTTGGAGCCTTCTGGGTCCATCCTAGACGCTCTGACCGCTCGCCGACCCCCCCCCCCGTGCATGTCCAGGGGAGGGGGTATGGGCAGGGATCAAGACACCGCCTGGATAGCAAGCCGTCTAGCTCACTCCCACCAGCCCTCCCGACACAAAAGTACCACCCGAGCCTCAGCATGTTCAGCGGTCGTCTTTGGATGGCCAGCTGCCGGAACCAACACCGACCCAATGTGCGCGACGCTGGGGCGAGGTGCGCCACGCGTGCCAGGCGCGCCAAGCGCGCCAAGCACCCCTGGGGCCCGAGCGTGCCAGGCGCGCCTGGTGCGCCGGATGCGCCAGGAGCTCCGCGTGCGCAAGGTGCGCAAGCTCTTGCGGGACATGCAGCGCGCGAGCCTCCCACGTAGCTCTTGCAGCAATGACTGGCTCTTGCATCGTTATCAACCCGAACCATGATGCCTAACTGTTCTGACCACTTATTGCGCGATCAAGCTACTGGATGTTTTTCGATTACTTCGGCATTCTTGTGAAGGGCGTTGGTTAGCACGCCTCCTCGGGGCGACCAAGTAAAACGGCGGCGCAAAAGCCTTGGCATGCTTTTCGAAGTGCCGCTCGATAGCGTTCTTGCGCGCGCATATTTCAAAGGACACACGTGCCCTAGACCAGTAAACACTATGTATGTTCACGGCGCGTCGTTGCATTGCATTGGTGATTGGTTTGTGGTTGGTTTGTGGTTGGTGCGTTAGTGCACATGTGTGTGATTGGTTACTCTTTGTGCTGGTGCTTCGGTGCTCGGCATATCAGGGCAAGTATACATCGGCTAAGAGACATGCTGGCGCATGGCCCAAGTGTTGGCCAGCATTGCGTGAGTGTTCAGTTCCGCGCGGGTCCCCATCCCCCTGACGTCGGTATCGTTTAGCCAGTCCCCATCCCCAGCCCCATCACCTTCGAGACCCCCACCAAAGTACCACCCCAGTTTTAAGTCGGGCCTGTCCCTGTACAGGAGGAATATTCAAGAATAGTAGAAATAGTCGGAAGATTATTTTTGGAGTATCTTTTTTTGTTGTAATTTGTGACTATACTTAATTTCTCGTCGAGAATCCCCCTGTAGGGGGGACACGCCCGACTTTAACCCCAGTTGGGGATACGCCACCCGAAACCCGAAGGGAACGACCTGTACCCCCTATCTAAGGGGGGCAAATCGGCCAGTAGGACCCAGGCCACGTCGCTGGGGATGGGGATCGGTTAAGCGATACTCATGACGCGAGGGGGCCCCTTCGGATTCTTCATCTCTGGCCCCTCCCGCGGGCCCTGTGGGCTCGTCGGATGGGGCCCCTGGGGCGGGCAGTGGATGCATCCTTGGGCGCCCCTCGGGCCATCCTGGACGCCCCGAGGACCGAGAAGGAGAGCGGACCAACATCAATCAGGAGAGGAAAATCAATCGATTCTTCAAAAAATATAGGAAAATATGGGAAGTGGGGGAAAGACAAAAACCCAGAAAATATAGGAAAATATGGGGAATAGTTTTATTTGTGTGTATTTATTTGTGTGTCCTGGGGTCCCTGCAATCAAGCAAACGCCCACATATCTAACTAACATGTTTTCCAAGCAGTGCCCGCACTCATCGGGTTCTTGCCTGTCTTGCTGAGGAGTTGGTTGGGTCTGTCGAGGTTTCGCCGCGTCGCCGCCCGTTGCCGACCACCGGGCCGGGGGGTCTGTCGAGGATGCACCACATAGCTTGCACCGCATAGTTGAGCTCACCATAACTTACACCACATAGCTTGCACCATGCAGACTGCATCACATTGCTTGCACATCCACAGCGAAATCACCTGGAACAGGGCCTCCCATACGGCTGTACAGGCCCCCAGGAGGGCCCCGGGACGGTCCCGAGGCCTCTGGAGGGATCACGACCCCAGCTCCAAGGGCGCCCTCAAGCGCCAAGGAACGCATGGGAATACCGCGAATCTGCGGCCGAGGCCCCATAACAAGTGTCCTAGACACACCGAAATCGATGGGCACGATGACGCTCCTCACTTTTTTTTACCTGCGCGGAGGAGCCCTCTGGGAAAACGATGACGTTCCACCCGTCGTCTCCCGGGACGCCGGCGGGCCCTCCTTTGGCCCTCCCCCTCCGCTTTCTCATCCCTCTTCGCCTCCCCTCCCCCTGGCCCAAGCACCAGAATTCGCTGGTGGCCCCTCGTGGCACCGTGACCACAGCCTGCCCACGCTCGATTTTTTGTGACAGCTGCCCAGCTTGGCCGACGCCACAAGTAGCTCCGCACTCGGCCCGACGGCTCGATCGATCCCCACCCCTTTCCCCTTCTCCCCTCCCCTCCCACTTGTTTTGAGTCGGGCCTGTCCCTCTACAGGGGATTTTTTTAACACGGCCAAAACATCGGAAGGGGACGTTTTCCTGTTCAAAAACACAACATGGTTGAGCATAGTTTGATTACTTTTGATACTTTCAATTCTTTGCCCAAGATCCGCCTGTTGGGGGACAGGCCCGACCTAACACTTGCTCCCAGACATGTGATATATGGACTTGTTCTGTATGTGGACCTCCGGATGCACTAGTTGTCTTGACGGCTACCCAGCTAAGTGGAGCCCCGAAATCGGCCTGACGGCTCGATCGATGCCCTCCCCCCCCTGCTCCCCCATCTTTCCTTAGCACCAGGCATGCGAGATCTATTTGTGTTTCGACCCATTCCCCGGGACGCTGTTTTCACCCCGAGCTGCTTTTGACGGTCCCATGGCCTGGCGAAGGCCATCGGAGGCCGACAATCAACAAAAAACCTCCCGCCGTTTTTTTCACGACGCTCATCCCCTCCTTCCTTCCCTCCCTTCCTCCCCTTCCTTCCCTCCCTCTCTTCCTTCCTTCCCTCCCTCCCATCCTTCCTTCCTTCCCTCCCTCCCCTCCTTCCCCTCCTTCCCTCCCGCTCCCTTGCGCCTTCCTTCGTTCCCCTCCTTCCCTCCCTCCCCCTTGCGCCACTCGCCCCGCACCGCCCCTCGCCGAGGTCCAGAGCAAGAAGGAGCTCGACGACGAGCGCACGGAGTGGCGCAGGAGCGTCAACTTCTCGGGCACCACGGTGGGCCCCACCAGCAAAGAGGAGCCGCCCAGCCTCGGCATGAAGAGCAGGGGTCACGTTATGGGGGGATAGGCTCAGGTGGGGGTTGGTTGCATCGACAACCAATCGTCCATGGGTCGCTGATATGGGCCCGATAGCCCCTTTCCGCCCAGAAAAGTTGAATTGCGCTACCGGAGGCCTATCACCGATCTATCGGCGATGTATCGTCGATTTCAGGCCGCTCCCTTGAGCTGTCCCCCCTGATGGTGCCCCTCGTAAGATGAGGCCGAGTAATGATTCGTCTGCATAAGCATAAGTTGTCGGAGGTCCGCGCGAAGTTCTTTGAATATGCGCGGACCTCCGATTATATAGTTATGTATATTGTTTCATCCAGCTATGTGCATATATGTAGATATGTATGTTTGTATGCATGTATGCATGTATGCATGTGTCTGCATGTATGTATTCATGTATGCATGTATGCATGCATGCATGCATGCATGCATGCATGCAGGCATGTCTGTCTGTATGTATGTGTTTATGTCTGTCTGTATATTTATGTATATATGTGTATATATATATGTATGTATGCATACATGTGTACATGCATGCATGCATGCATGCATGCACGCACGCACGTACGTACGTACGTATGTCTGTATTTGTGTATGTATGTGTGTATATATGTACACATGCATGTATGTGTGTATGTATGTATGCATGCATGCATGCATGTATGTACACATGTGTATGTGCATGTTTGTATATGTACATCGGGTAATGGAGTACTATCTATGTGTATATATGTGTGTATACGTATACGTATACGTATAGATGTATCGAAGGCGCCTACGGCGAATCGCCGCCGCCCCCTGCTTTCGTTGAAGCGCATCTGTGGCTCAGCGTGGCAGCTAGAGCTTGGCCTAGAGGTTGGACCACGTGTTCTCTGAGCCGGTCAGGAGAGCATTCGGGGACCGCGCGTTGAAGGAGGAGTAGGAGGAGGCGGAGGAGGAGGAGGATGAGGATGAAGAGGAGGAGGAGGAGGCGGAGGAAGAGGAGGAGGAGGAGTAGGAGGAGGAGGAGGAGGAGCAGCAGCAGAAGCAGCAGGAGGAGGAGGAGGAGGAAGAGGAGGGCTCTTGGGAGCCTCTTGGAGCACTCTTGGGGCTTCCTGGCAGCTTCCTCGGGGCCTCTTTGAGGCCTCTTGGGTGGCTCCTTGGACCTAGTGTTGACATTTGGGACTTCTTGGGCCTCTTTGGCTGTCTTTGGGCGTTCCTGACACGTCTAACGCCGTCGGAACCCGACTTGGGGGCCTCTTTGAACCGACTTGGGGCGCTACTGGGGCGCTTCAGGGCCGTCTGGGAGACCATCTTGGGCGTCTTCGAGCCCTCTTGGGGCCGTCTTGGGAGCCTCTGGGGCCCGGCCCGAGGACAGTCAGGCGAGGTTCGAGATGACCAGCGAGGCGAAGGATGGGCGCGTGCAGAGCCAGGTGTCCAGCAGCGCCTTCGCCAGGCGGCCTCCCGCGATATGACGAGACGGGAAGGAGGAGGAGGAGGAGGAGGAGGATGAGGAGGAGGAGTAAGAGGAGGAGGAGAAGGGCTATGGGTGGCCTTCTCTCTCCACAAGAGGCGCAGGCGCGGGCACAAGCGCGAAGAAGAATGGTGGAGCTGGGGGCGGATGAGCAAGCGGCGGCGACTGAGAATGTGTGTCATCATGATGATGAGTTGATAATGGGGCTGCTGCTGTCGACGAAGAGGATGTTCATGGTTGTGGTGTCGACGGCGATGGTGGGCCTGCGTTGTTGTTGCTGTTGTTGTCGTTGCTGTGGTTGTTGTTGTTGTTGCTGTTGCTGTTGCTGTTTGTTTGCTTGCTTGCTTGCTTGCTTGCTTGCTTGCTTGCTTGGTTGGTTGGTTGGTTGGTTGGTTGGTTGGTTGGTTGGTTGGTTGGTTGGTGGTGGTGGTGTTGCTGTTGCTGTTACTGCTGCTGCTGCTGCTGCTGCTGCTGTTGTTGTTGTTGTTGTTGTTGTTGTTGTTGTTGTTGTTGTTGTTGTTGTTGTTGTTGTTGTTGTTGTTGTTGTTGTTGTTGTTGTTGTTGTTGTTGTTGTTGTTGTTTTGTTGTTGTTGTTGTTGTTGTTGTTGTTGTTGTTGTTGTTGTTGTTGTTGTTGTTGTTGTTGTTGTTGTTATCGGATAATACCTGTTGTTGATCCCTCACCTCCGGCGATCAGTGTGCTTTTCAAGTGAAGCGCTCCCCCCGGGGGCGCGCACCTTTTTTACAAGGGAAAAGCACGGGGCCCAAACTAGGTTGTTGGCCCCCGGATTGCAACAACAACAACAGCAACAACAACAACAGCAACAACGGCTCCCGCCTGAGACTTCCTCACAACTCAGCCAGGACCCCTGCTCCCGCCTGATATTCCCTTGCGTTTTACTTATATGAATCGCGCTCTCGCTGGGGACTTGCTTGCACTTTAATCAAGACTCGCGCTCTTGCGTTGGAATTTCCTACAATTTACTCAAGCGCCGCGCTCCTGACACAGGCACCCAGGAGTCGCGCTCACGCGTGGGACTCCCTCACAGATTTATTCGGAATCGGGATCTCGCTGCCCTTCGTGGCCCCGTTGCAGCCCTTCGTGGCCCCTCGCTGCCCTTCGTGGCCCCCTCGCTGCCCTTCGTGGCCCCGTTGCAGCCCTTCGTGGCCCTTCATGGCCCCCTCGCTGCCCTTCGTGGCCCCGTTGCATTGCAGCCCTTTGTGGCCCCTCGCTGCCCTGCGTGGCCCCGTTGCAGCCCTTCGTGGCCCCCTCGCTGCCCTTCGTGGCCCCGTTGCAGCCCTTCGTGGCCCCCTCGCTTCTCTTCGTGGCCCCGTACATATATGCTCTTCGTGCCCCCCGCTCGTTCGCGCCCGTCGCGGTCCCATACTTGCGCCTCGCGGGCCCGCTGCTGCTTCTCGTGGCCCCCTCGCTGCCCTTCGTGGCCCCGTTGCTGCCCTCAGTGGCCCCGTCCTTGCCCTCTTCGGCCCAGTCTACGACTGCCCTTCGTGGCCCCCGCTCGTTCGCGCCCGTCGTGGCCCCATGTGCATGCCCTTCGTGGCCCCGCTGTCGCCCTTTTTGGCCTCCTCGGTGTCCTACGTGGCCCCGTTGCTACCCTCAGTGGCCCCGTCGTTGCCCTCTGTGGCCCCGTTTTATCTGCCCTTTGTGGCACCCGCTCGTTCGCGCCTCTTGTGGCCCCATGCACATGCCCTTCGTGGCCCCGCTGTCGCTCTCGCTCTCGCTCTCGCTTTCGCTCGTCGTCGTCGTGGTTGGTCCCCTGTCCCGTCCTCTTGGGGTCGGGCTGCCGCCGATCAGTGCTGCCGCTGGCCAGGCCGACGGTCTGCGGCCGCCCCGCCGCTTGCCGGGGCCCAGCCTGCAGGGAAGACATATTTACATTCCAAAAGGGGTAAGGTCGAAGATGAAAAAGGCGGGTGTCGAGGGTTTGGGAAATACAGGTTGGATGGCACTCGAGCAGATACGAGCGAACAGTCTTAAACTGTTTGTTATTGTTGCTGTTGCTGTTGCTGTTGCTGGTGCTGCTGCGTTTGTTGTTGTCGTCGTTGCAGTTTCACTGCTGGAGAATAATTATTGTCATCCCCCCATTCCAGTGACCTTTGTGTTTTTTTTTCATTGAAGTGTTGCCCTTGGGGCCCGCATCCGGTTTTTAGTATCAGGGAAACCCACTAGGCTCAAACTGCGCACCTGGCCCCCGGGTTACAACAACAGCGGTTCCCGCCTGAGACATCCTTTTCAATTTGGCCAAGGCCCCCGCTCCCGCTCGATACTTCTCCGCATTTCGCGCAGGAGTCGCGCTTTCGCTTGACTTCCTTGCGCTGTATACAGGAATCGCCCTGTCGGTGATCAGGAATCGCGCTCTCGCTTGGGACTTCAATGTGTACAGGCATCGCTCTCTCGGTGCTCTGGATTTGCGCTCTCGCTGGAGACTTGTTTGCAATTTATTCTGGAATCGCACTCACGCGTTGCAATTCCCCACAATTTACTTGAACGCCGCGCTTCCGACACTCAGGCACCCAGGAGTCGCGCTCACGCTTGGGACTCCCTCACAGATTTAATTCGGAATCGGGATCTCGCTGCCCTTCGTGGCCCCGTTGCAGCCCTTTGTGGCCCCCTCGTTGCCCTTCTTGGCCCCGTTGCAGCCCTTCGTGGCCCCCTCGCTGCCCTTCGTGGCCCCGTTGCAGCTTTGTGGCCCCCTCGCTGCCTTTCGTGGACCCGTTGCAGCCCTTGGTGGCCCCCCTGCTGCTTTTCGTGGCCCCGCTGTCGCCCTTCGTGGCCCCCTCGCTGCCCTTCGTGGCGCCCGTTGCAGCCTTCCGTGGCACCCTCGCTGCCCTTCTTGGCCCCATATATGTATGCCCTTCGTGGCCTTCGCTCGTTCGCACCCTTCTTGGCCGCATCTGCATGCGCTTCGTGGCCCCGCTGTCGCCCTTCGGCCCCCTCGCTGCTCTTCGTGGCCCCGTTGCTGCCCTCAGTGGCCCCATCCTTGCCCTCTGCGGCCCTCCGGCCCAATATACGTATGCCCTTCGTGGCCCCCGCTCGTTCGCGCCCGTCGTGGCCCCATGTGCATGCCCTTCGTGGCCCCGCTGTCGCCCTTCGTGGCCCCCTCAATGTCCTAGGTGGCCCCGTTGCTGCCCTCAGTGGCCCCGTCGTTGCCCCCTGTGGCCCCGCATTATCTGCCCTTCGTGGCCCCCGCTCGTTCGCGCCCTTCGTGGCCTCATACGCATGCCCTTCGTGGCCCCGCTGTCGCCCTTCGTGGCCCCCTTCCTGCCCTTCGTGGCCCCGCTGTCGTTCTCGCTCTCGCTCTCGCTCTCGCTCTCGCTCGTCGTCGTCGTCGTCGTCGTCGTCGTCGTCGTCGTCGTCGTCGTCGTCGTCGTCATGGTCGGTCCCCTGTCCGTCCCTCTTGGGGTCGGGTTGCCGCCGATCAGCGCTGCCGCTGGCCAACCTGACGGTCCGCGGCCGCCCCGCCGCTTGCCGGGGCCCGGCCTGCAGGGAAGAAAAGTATACCCCCCAAAAAGGGTAAGATCGAAGACGAAAAAGACGGGCATCGAGGGTTTAGCAAATACGCGTTAAAGGACACTCGAGCAGAAAAGAGCGAACAGTCCTTAAAAGACACCTACCCGCTGCCGCCGATCAGCGCTGCCGCTGGCCAGGCCGACGGTCTGCGGCCGCCCCGCCGCTTGCCGGTTCTCGGCATGCAGGGAAGAAATATCTACACTTCAAAAGGGGTAAGGTCGAAGACGAAGAAGACGGGTATCGAGGGTTTGGGAAATACGCGTTGGGTGACGCTCGAGCAGGTTATAGCGAACAGTGTCAAAATGAATGCTGTTTGTGTTGTTGTTGCTGTTGATGATGCTGTGCTGTTGTTGAATTTTCAGAACTGAAGAATAGTACTGTTGATCCCCATTCCAGTGTACATTGTATTTTTCAATTGAAGTGCCCCTCCCGGCGCTCGCACCTGGTTTAAATTAGGGAGAGTATTCCTCCTCAAACCGCGTCGTTGGCCCCCTGGATTTAACAACAACGGCTCCTGCTTGAGATTTCCTTGCAATTTAGCCAGGACTCCCGCTCCCGCCCGAGACTTATTTGAAACTTATGCATGAATCGCGCTCTCGCTTGGGACTTCCTTACAATGTATACAGGAAGCGCTTTCTCGAAGCTCTGGAGACGCGCTCTCGCTGGAGATTTGCTGGCAATTTACTTAAGAATAGCGCCCTTGCGTTGGACCTCCCTGCAATTTACTCAAGCGCCCCGTTCCCGACACTCAGGCACCCAGGAGTCGCGCTCACGCGTGGGACTCCCTCACAGATTTAATTCGGAATCGGGATCTCGCTGCCCTTCGTGGCCCCGTTGCAGCGGTTCGTGGCCCCTCGCTGCCCTTCGTGGACCCGTTGCAGCCCTTCGTGGCCCCCTCGCTGCCCTTCGTGGCCCTTCATGGCCCCCTCGCTGCCCTTCGTGGCCCCGTTGCAGCGTTTCGTGGCCTCCTCGCTGCCCTTCATGGACCCGTTGCAGCCCTCTGTGGCCCCCTCGCTTTGTTTCGTGGCCCCGTTGCAGCCCTTCGTGGCCACCTCGCTGCTCTTCATGGCCCCGTTGCAGCCCTTCGTGGCCCCCTCGCTGCCCTTCGTGGCCCCATGAGCCCCCTTCGTGACCCCCCTCGCTGCCCTTCGCGGCCCCGTTGCACCCTCGTGGCCCCCTCGCTGCCCTTCGTGGCCCCGTTGCAGCCCTTCGTGGCCCCCTCGCTGCCCTTCATGGACCCGTTGCAGCCTTTCGTGGCCCCCTCGCTGCCCTTCGTGGCCCCATGAGCCCCCTTCGTGACCCCCCTCGCTGCCCTTCGTGGCCCCGTTGCAACCCTTCGTGGCCCCCTCGCTGCCCTTCGTGGCCCCGTTGCAGCTTTGTGGCCCCCTCGCTGCCCTTCGTGGCCCCGTTGCAGCCCTTCGTGGCCCCCTCGCTGCCTTTCGTGGCCCCGTTGTAGCC